AAGTAGGATTACAGACATGAGTCATCAGTGCCTGACTTTAGGACTTTTGTTTTTACAGGTGCACATCAGCAGGCTTGTCTTTAAATAACATATTTTAAATAACAGTACTCAAACTTAAGTTTGTTTTAAGTGGCTTTCTTCACCTACTCTAGGTGCCAATGGGTCATGTTTGGCTAGAAGGAGACAATCTACAGAATTCTACAGATTCTAGGTACTATGGACCCATTCCATATGGACTAATACGAGGACGAATTTTCTTTAAGGTACAAGTTTTCTTTTTTTTTTTTTTATAAAGCTTTATTTTTCTGTTATGAGGGTTTTTTGTTCTCTAAAGTCCTCCGGCTGACAGTTGACTTAACTGTTAAAATGACTATATTTTAGTGAGCATATCTTTATTTCATAGCTCTATAGAAAACATTATTCCCTCTTCTCTCCCACTTTTATAGATAGTAGTTTGAGATTTTATACAACAAATTCAAATTACATTAGCTATATTCAAGCACTTTTGGTATCATATTCAAACACTTGGCACAGTTAACTCTTGAGGATTATAAAACACGCATATTCATAAATTCTTATGAAGAATAGGAAAGAACATAATATTGCAGTATCACCTTTATTAATTGTTTTCAAATATATTTGATTTTACAGATCTGGCCCCTGAGTGATTTTGGATTTCTACGTGAAAGCCCAAATACTGAAAGATTTGCTGATGATTAGCAAACACTTTTTGACTTGATTATTGTCTCCTGTTCAAGTGAATTTATACTGCAGCTGAAACCATGTACTTGCCAATAAACTATCTGCAATTCAGTTTTAATTATTTTAATTGCTAAATGCAAAGGATAGCAACACATTATTCAAGTTATACTAGCTAATATTTGGATACAAATGTAACCCAAGCACCAGGCAGTATTGAACACCTGTAATCTTGGCCTTGGGGGTTTGGGGGGGGAAATCTTTTGTTTTTAGGTCGCGTCTGCTCTACAGTGTGAGCTTTTCTCTCAAAAAAGGAAAAGAAACTTATCCGAAATTAATCTTCCATCTATATTTTATGTTTATTTTTTGATTTTATGGACGGGTGATGGTGGTGATTGGCTGATGTTTTCCTTTTTTTTTTAGTTTTGGTTTTATTGATGTCTTGTCCCTAATGTTTTGTTCCTATGTTTCTATTGTCATGTTTCGGATGCTCCTCGTTGTTTTTTTGATGTCTTGTTTTTTTCTGTTGTTCGGATGCTGCTTACTTCTTATATAATTCTTTTTTGGTATTGTATCCTCCATATTTTGTTGTCGTTGATTCTTTGCTGAAAGTAGTCTTCTTTATTTTATTGGTGATTTGTTTTTTTTTCCTTCCTGCCGATTGTTTCTTTTTTTTCTTGCTGTTCTGCCACAAAGAGGGGTGCTTACTGGTGTCTAATTATTTTTTTGCTTCTTTTTTTTCCTTTATTTTTTATGGTGATGATGGTTGTTCTGTTCCCCTTCTTCTTCCTCCGTTTTTTTCTTTTTTTTCTGCTGCTGCCTTCCTTGCTTCTTTTTTTTTTTTTTCTCTTTTATTCTGTTGTCTTTTTTTTTGTGGGACTAGTCTCTTATGTTTATTTCTAAGCTTTTTTTTTTTTTTTTGTGGTGTTCTTTGGTTGTTGGTCTTGTGTTTTCTTTGTTTGGCAGCTTAAGACTTTCCTTTCTTGTATTTTGAATGGTTTCTTCTTATCATGTCTTTGTCTTTTGCTGAGGTGTGTTTATGTTTGGACAAGTTTTTCTTTTCTTTAGGAGTTCTTTAATTTGTGCATCTGTGTCCTGCTCTGTTTGTTTTTTATCTTCTGCTTCCTTTTTTGGGATGGTGTATTTTTCACTTCTCCGTCCATTTAGTGAATTTTATTTTTGTTTTGGGTGGCCTTTGCTTTGTTGTTTTGTATTTTCTTTGTGGCTTCTTTTTAGTGTTCTTTTCCTTGGAGTTTGTTTGGCTTCTTTTTTTCATTTCTGGATATTGTTCTGTTTTGTTTTATGCTTTTAACAATTTTTGCTGTAGTACCGGAGTTCTTTTTTTAGTGGGTCTGTGTTTCCAGAAATTATGTTCCCATCTTGTGTTTCGTTTTTGGCGATGGTGTCTTTTCGTCTGCATCGGCAGTTCAGTGACTTTGGTTTATGATCTTGGTTCGCTGAGATTTCTTTTATGTATTTTTTTTGGTGTTTTGTTTTCATTTTTTGTAGGTTTTCCTCTTGCCGCTGTGTGTTCTTCTCTTTTTTTGTCTTTTCGTTCCCTAGAATTTTCCCTGTCTGTTCTTTGTTTTTGAGGTTCTTTATGTCTTGCTCGGTTTTTCCTTTTGGCGCATCTTTTTTTTGTTTGTCTTGATTCTCCTTTATTCTTTGTTTTTGGTATTTTTTTTTTTGGTCAGTCTTGTCTTCAGTTGGGTCTGCTCCTACTATGTTTTTCTGTTTCTTTTTTGGTTTGTTGTTATTGTTCCTGTTTGGTTGATCTCTGTTTGTTTTTTGTTTATCAGTAGGCCAGTCATCTGTGTGTGCTTTTGCCGGGTTTCTGATATGATCTTTCTTTTTCTCTTTGTTGTGTTTCTGTATCTCTTCTGTTCTGGTCCTTTTCAACGCTAGTGTTTATTGACTCATGCAATTTTTTCCTTCTGGTCTTTTTTCTTTGTGCTTGTGTGATTTCTTTGCCTCCTCATTTTCTGTTCTGGTTTTCTTTTTCTTGCTGTCTCTGTGTTATTTTCTTCTTGCTTTTCGTGTTCTTGTTTTTTCTTTGTTATTCATTGACCTTTATTGTTTCTTTCATATAATCCAATCAAGTATTTTCAATTGTTTTTCAAAGCTGGTTAACATTCAGACCTCAGGCAATGGTTAGAAAAACAGATCTAATTGCCTTGCTCTCTGTCAAGTTCAGTCTTGGAAAATTTAGCAATTAAATAAGCCAACTTTGTGTGGTTCTTTTCATCAGAAAGAAAACCTTACAACTTGGGAAGGGTGGGGGTCAGAAAAAATTGGAAAAAATGAGGGAGGGGATGACATTGTTCAGTAAGAAATATACTCAATACCTGACTTATGTAACTTTTACATCTCTGTACGTCACCTTTATAATAAAAGTTTTAAAAGGAAAAAAGAAAACCTTGTCTATTCCCTTAATCTTGTCCCTATTATTCACCACAAAGTCATTTTCTTATCCATGAAACAAAAAAACAAACTGGGCAGGGTGGCTACTGGAGGAAAGAACCAGAGGATCAAGGTTGAGGCCAGCCTCAGCAAAAAGTTCAGAAGATCCCACCTCAACCAATAAAAGCAGGCTGTAATAATACCTGCTTGTCATTCCAGTTATATGGGAAGCATAAACAGGATTCTGGCCCAGGCAAAAAAAAATGAAACTGGGCTGGGAGCTGGTGGCTCACGCCTATAATCTTAGCTACTCAGGTGGCAGTGAGATGAGGATTGTGATTCACAGCCAGCTGGGGCAGAAAGTCTCTGAGAGTCTTATCTCCAATTAACTACTGAAAAAGCTGCAAGTACAGCTCTGGGCTCAAGTGTTCAAGCACTAGGCCTTAAGCAAAAAAGCTCAGGGACAGTGTCCAGTACACATATAACCCAACATACATATACTAGGAACATGTTTTCAAAACTATTACTATTAAATTTCTAAAATATACATATGCTAATGACTAATTTTCTGAAGCTTAATTCTCCCTCTTGTTTTTTTTACTACCTCAGTGAACACTGAGAAACAATTTGAGGTGACGTGTTTGGTAACTGACACAGGGAACCATGAGTTGTTAATGGAGTTCTATCACAGATACTTTCAAATGGTAATGGTCACAAAGAATTCACAACTTGTTTGAAACTTCTGATGGTATTATCACCAAGCAATTAACAAAATGATATATTCAGAAGTCATTTTAAATACATGAATGAAGACCAACAAAATAAGTTATATAGTAGGCTAAAAGTAAGGAGAGGATAGCTGGTCCGGGGAAAGTGCCAGGGCCTGGATGCTGTCCCTTTGCATAGCTGCTCAAAGCTATCATGCTGCCCCTTGAGCCACCTTTTAGGGAAAAAGGTGATTACTCCTTAGATTTCATTTGAGTGGCTAGTAGCAGAACTGTCTTATAAAGCAAAACCATTTTCCTCTTCTAAGTCAGTATGGTTTGTGACTCACTTCTTTAGAGCACTAAGTTAAGAGTTTTCAACTAGAAGAATAAACATAATTTCAGGAAGGGTGGCTATATTTTACTATTTATACTCGGTGAAGTTTTCTAAGCCTGTAAGGATTTTGTGGCACAGGCCAAACAAAACTTACAGGGTTAAGAAGATAGAAACATTCTGAGAAATACTCAGATTTTCAGCTGAAGTGTTCATCATCACCTCCATTTAGAAAGTGTTTTCCTAATTTAATCATATGTAACTGGAACAATTCAAGGAACATCAGAAAAATGTGGAAATAATATTTGTTACTAATGTTTTAAAATACTAATAATAGAAAAAGATCAAAGACATAACTTCATTGGAGGTAAAAGGGAATGACAGATGTTTCATTTCCCCTAAGTAAATCAAAAAGGGAAGTAAAAAAATAAAATGTATAACACAAAAAGCTTTGTCCTGACAGTTTATGACTTCATATTAAAAAAATTCACATAGTTGAGGATATAAAGAGGAATGGGGAATAAAATCATCATCTTTGCTTATTACATCACATGGTAATGCAAAAACCAAAGTAGTGAAATTAATTTAGAAAAGAACCTCCATGTGCCTAACATCAAATTAGAACAGGAGAGAAGCTAAAATGATTCATTAAAGTTTGGAATTTAACAAACATAACACACACACACACACACACACATATATTTGGAAAACTAGGCATTTATTTCTTAAGACTTCCAAATATCCTGAGGTTTCTTTTTCCCTTTTAAAAAGTTCCTAGTATTTCTTTCACTGTACAGAAAACAAAGAAAACGAATGGAAGAACAAGTAAAAGAATGAGTCTAAGAGAGAATGAAAGATCCTACCTTCATTCCAAGACATTTCTTCAAGATATACTTTAGCATCTACTGGTCCCATATTTTGTAGCTCATCATCTGCAAAATGGAAAAGGAGACTATTTTGATACCTATGAAGAATGCCAAGCTACCACACGTAGCTTATTTATCTAACATTTTAAAATTTACCTTATTACAGTGTTAGGCTACTTGTTCCAAAAAGTCCAGAACATAACATTTCTTATAGGCTTTTAACAATCAAAAGCTACCCCCATTTTCACAAACAGGCAACAACACTAAGTCAGTTTGACAACTATGAAATCAGGTAGCCATTGTAGGGTTGGGTAAAAAAAAATTACATTTGATATTTGATTGCTATTGATAATTGTGATATTTTATTAGCCTCCTTGCTTCAAGGAGTTCTCTTATTCAAGAAGGTTCCTGTCCTGTTACCTCACAAAATCCTTATGTCTGAATTCTAACATCAGTATGAGCTTTTAGGAAGTAAGGATTAAAAGAGTTGGATCCTAATCCAGCCAGATAAGTAGTTTTATAAAATGGAGGGAAAGATCTTGTTCCAATCCCAACCACACGTGGAGGACAGATCATGGGATGACACAGCAAGCGGGCTGCCTGCAAGCCAGGAAAAGGGCCCTCCTGTTGAATAGAACTGGCCAACACCTTCATCTTGGACTCCTCAGCCTCCACAACTGTGAGAAATAAATTTTAAGCCACCTACTCTATAAAGTGTTTTAGTATGTCAGCTCAAGCAGACTAATGGGTATTCTCCAAGTCAAATGAGATCAAGTTAAAAGTTCTTTAAAGATTAAAGCTCTACTCAAATGCAAGGGGCTTTTAGTCATTTGACTGCAACAGAATAAGTAAATGAATAGGAGAATACTTCAATATTTCAGTGTTGATGTCCCTTGCTGTTTTCTGGTCCAGACTTTTCTACTAGGGTGGAAGGTGCCTGGAATCAACATAAACATACTAAGAGTATGGTATACGTTGTAGAAGCATGTACTCTCTTGCTTAAAACAAATGTAGAATGCAAGAATGGAAGAATGAAACTATGGATGGGAAGGGCATGTCTTTTGTTTTTAAAGGCATGCTATAGTTTCTGCATGCTTGTATTATTCTTCTAGAAGTTAATGCTTAAAAAAAAGAGACTTCTAAAATCCAGCCCCCAACTCCCATGAAAATTTCTTTATCTATCTCACAGTCTCTTGTTCACTTGCTGAGAATGGTTCCCTTTGTTCTGTTGCGTGAATGCCTGCAATTTAATTATATTTAATAACTGCCTGTTCAAAATTTATTGGTGAGTTACATAATTTTAAAATAGATGAAAAGATAATACAATATTTTGAACTCTATTGTTTTCTATTAAGGTATGTCAAATATTATATCACCTCATATTTACTGGGTACCAACAGTCTGGTAAACTGTCCCCAAATTCTAAAGACAGACTTCGCCCAGTGGTCAAATTGTTTCCTCCATCTCTGTATGCCCACTGAATAGCTTAGACAGAATGGTGTTAGTCTGCAAAGTAATTTCTGAACAAAATAACTTAATTCTACATTCTATACAGAGTATATTTGGCCAAGTATTATTCTATTCTTCCCAATTAAAAAAAATTCTGTCTAAAAAATCTCAAGGATGGAAAAAAAATCTTACATTTTAATTTCTTAATTAAAGGGACCAAGGTGTTCGTCAATCTTTCAGCTTTGAGGAGTGAGCCAGACACCAGCCACTCAACATTTATAATCCTGGGTGAGATCCAAAGAATAAAGTTTTGAAGCCAGCCAGGGCACAAGAGTCCGAGTGACTACATCTCCAAAATAACCAGCAGAAACCTTATTGGAGTATAGTTTATATGGTAGAGTAACAGCACAAGCCAGAGGAACAAGATGAGGCCCTGAGTTCAAACATAAGTACAAGAGTACTAGAATACTAGGCTTGAGCTCAGGGCCTGGATGCTATTCTTTAGCTTTTGTATTTAAGCTAGGGTTATACCACTTGAGTCACCACTATACTCTGGCTTTTGGGTGGTAAACTGGAGATAAGAGTCTTATAGACTTCTCCACCTTGATTGGTTTCAAACTGATCTCAGCCATCTGAGTAGCTAGGATATAGGTGTGAGTCACCCATGCCTGGCTATTTTTGTTTTAAAATAATGAGAAATAATTTGCAAAAGTAAATGCCAAGCAAATCATCTTCCATTGTTCTGCTTCTTTACAGGAAAGCTATTATAATTCTTACCTAGTTACTATATTATGTGCAACTCTCATCTATTATTCTATTATTCTACCCACTCAAATCAGTAGCTTTTACATTTTCATTACCTTTCCTCCTTAGGTTTAGACACAGAAAGAAACATTCACACTTACTCTTAGTTAAAAGATTAGCACTGACCATCTCTTGGCTAGTACTTGCCCAAAGGCATAGTTACAATACATATATTCAAATGTTGTAGTTCTGTGACCTTCTAAACACTGTTGATTGGCCTGATTATTCAGTATTAGGTGGACACAGTGTAAGTTTCTGTGGAGATTCTGGTCTCGAGATTCAGTATATGACATGAAAGTACATTCGGTGTGATTTGTGATTCATCATTCCATGCAATATAACAGGCAAAACTTCCCCATAGTGTTGGAAGACAGGAGAATGAGTGCTGCCTGGAAGTAACACAGGCCTTCTGATTAAATGGGTGGGCTCAATGTGAAAGCAAACAAGTGATACATTAAGATGTCCTCACCTCTCTGAATGCATGTTCAACAAGTTTTAAAAGTAGTTTTGTGACTATAATGATTACATCTTTGAACCAAGAAATAAGGAAGGAAAAGTTCAATAAGAGTCTAATAGGAACGCATGTTCTTTGAAGGGACGGTAATCTAACAACTTCTGAAAAAGACTAAGGTGATTAACTCAGGAGAAAATTGGATCCCTAGAGAACAGTATAATGAGCGGAATGGGTACATACAAGTAAAAGGTGACTCTAAATGTGGGCAGTGGGGGGTCACCAAGATCCTTTGTTGAGAGACAGGTGTCTAAAGAGAGGACAACAGCACCCCACAACCCAACCTTCACTGCAATTACAAGAAAAAAGAACAAACAAATCAATGTTGTTTTTTAGTTTTTAAACAATGATCTCTGCTTGTCCACCATTGTGCTTATAATTAAAAAACAATTCTCCCCTATCCACTAAAGTAACTCACAAGAATCCTTTGATAATTGTCTACTAATCAGACATGGCAACTTCAAAACAGCGAAGTTAGTTTCTTCTATAACTATATATTTATATTTTTACTGTTTGCAATAAAACATTTTAATAGGTATCTGCAAATGCAAATCCAATCTCAAAGTTCTGTTAACATGATACTACTAAAATTGCTGAGAAAGTACACTGACCTCAATTAAAGAAACAGATCTAAGATTTTAAAATCTAGAATCATTGCTACAAAATAGTGATAATTATTTACAAAAGAAAAACCAACAGCTAGTTGGAAAGAAAGAACATTTTGTGTATTCTATCTTGAGTCCAATGACACTACACAATTTTTGATTCTTTAGAAGTAAATGGTTCAACTTTTTAGTGTTCCTTTAGGCACTTATAAGGTCTGTTCATACCCTGTCCAGTGCTCACAAGCTTAGCCCAAGAGGGAGATAAGAAAAACTTCCAAATTTACTTTTCCATATAGAAAGTAGTGCATTATAATTAAAAAGAGGTTCCTGAGGAATAATGATAAAATCAAATAATTTATGTGGTTACTTGAAAAAGAATCTTTCAACCTTTAGAAATGTAGGCCCTTCTGACCTTGTGTTCTATTGGATTTGTCTGACAACAAGAGGTGAAAGAATTCTGTGGCTCCATTGTCTCAACAGTAAGGATCTAAGAAAACACTAGCCGGACTCATCAGAGAGGTTTATGAGCCTGCAATTCAAAGAGATTAAAAGGAAAATCTACAGAGATTCTTTCACACTAAAGAATAACATTAAATAACTATTAGCAGCTTGGTTCAGTAAAGCTTACTAGAGCTCTCGCTGGGTCATTCACAACTTTCTAAAAGAGGAAAGGTTTTTTTCAGCTCCATTTGGGAATCAATAAATATTTCTTACATCTTACAAGACAATGGAATTCCAGTCTTTTAACTTCCTCCTAATGACAGTAAAATTTCTAAAGAAACCCTTTATTTAATGTCTAAATAATTACACTTCTAATCCTAAGAAATGTTTCCTAAATATAGCTATAATAAAAATAAAATGTAAAATGCAAAGTAACTGCAAACAAAAGCTATAGGGGAGAGGAACTTAACTTTATTCATTATGGTCAAAGTACTTAAAAATCTCATTAAATCAAATACTAACCAAATGATCAAGTCTTATAGTATTCATGTGTGCAGTGTCAGCTATTTAGGTGATCATCATTCCTTCCTCCCCCAAATGCTGCCACATAGTGAATTTGCTTTTATACAACTTAAAATGCTTAATGTTTATTCAAAATATTCAAAAGTGTGTGTTATGTAATTTAAAGCAAACAGTCCCTGAGGTTATTTTGCTGTCTTAAACTACATAATTTTTTAAAATAATCTCATTCTTGAAAATCATTTCACTATGTGGCAATTATTACTTTTATATAGGAAGTAACTTGTAATCAGATTCTTTTTCCAAGAGCAGAGACATGAAAAAGACAATTTGCTAATAATCTGAGAATTGTGCAATATTTAATTTGAAAATCATTAATAAAGCCCTATAAACCTATTCTAGATGAAACCAAAATCACTTTCAACATAGAAAAAAACCTGGAATTTAATTATGAACTTAAAGAACAGTAAAGTTGGCTAAGTAGGTGCAAATCTAGTGCTCTAGAAAGCTAGCAAATGAACCCCAGAAACTTAATTCCTATGTTTCACTATGAAACACAGCAGTAGCCTCTTGTTCTGATCCTCAAAATGTCTCATGTTGACTACAGAATTAAAAATAGTTGAATGTACACAACCTGTACAAAACATGGGATCCTAGTGTTCTGAATACATCCCTCCTATCAATGACTATGTAAGCTCAGTCAAATTACTCAGCTTCTCAGAGGAGCCGACTCTTTC